GCTGAAGGCGAGCTTGCGCCCTGGCTCGACTAAAGTGTTCATTCTCTGCTACTGGTTCCCTCTCGGAACCTCTTTCCTGCCTACAGCCTGGTTTTGCCTACCAGGGGGACCGTATGCTCCCCTCATTGAGGGTCACTGTGAGCACGCGGACTCCTGAGTCTGGTCAGACGGTCGTAGGCCTCTTGTGAGGCCTCCCAGTTAGATCAGTCCTTAGGCCTTCACAGGCCTCCTCAGTGTTTTGAAACACAGACACTGGGTTGATCCGTGGATCGAGTAGAGAAACTCCCCTCGCTAGCAAGAGTTGGAAAGCACTATGCTGAGTCATACTCTCCGGGATATCCCGTCTCTGAGATCCGGGCCGTTCACTGCCAGCTTCGCAGTCCCTCGGGTTGGATGCCTTACCTAAGGCAAGTGTCCAGAGGCTCTGTCTTCGGACAGACAGGAAGTGGCCAGACTGTCTATGTATCTGATGCCGGGTCAGGCCGTCCTGGTGGCATTTCGGGGTGAGTACGTTCCCCTGAATAGTGATTGGCTGGGGTTCCTTCGGGTTCCCTAGCCACATTCCCTAGAAGGGACCCCTTCTAATTGAAGTTGTGGTCCTAGGCCTTTGAGCAGGCCCAGGTAGGCCTTTCATTTAACCATGTTTATGGAGGTTTTCCTGTGAGGCTTATAGCTTGGGCTATGACCGTAGGGAATGATGTCACTGACAGCCCAGTGTGACCTGAGGGTGAGTGGTTCCAGCATTTCATTTGAATTTGCTGGTTCGGACAGTTGTCACTGCCTGAGGGCATGCACTCCCCTCAGCATGGCGGAGTGGGTATTTCGTTCCCCATAACGTCGATGACGTATTGTTGAGTTCCCTTCGAAAGGGAACATCTCAGGTTACGAATGTAACCTCTGTTCCCTGAGAACAGGGAACGAGACAATACGTCTCCCTGCCATGCCTCGGGGCTTGCCTGCCGTACTGTCCCTTCAGACGATAAGGTGATTTGTCATGTTTGCAAGGTGCCCTTATATACTTCCAGGTCGCACGTTAATCATTCACGCTAATGATTCACGGGCTGTCGCCGGTCAATGTGATTGACGTGATTTGATAGTGATTTCAGACACCTGTCACGCCTGAGGCGTTCCCCATAACGTCGATGACGTATTGTCTCGTTCCCTGTTCTCAGGGAACAGAGGTTACATTCGTAACCTGAGACGTTTTCCATTCTTCTTGACTTGGGCTATGGTTTTTATTTATTTATTTATTTTTTATTGACATAAGAACGATCAGATAACAACAGATGACAGCATGAGTAAAGGAGACAGTACAATCAATTTGAATATGAAGTACAGTAGAGAGAAGAAAAAAAAAAACAAGAAAAAAAAACAGAGGAAGTAAATTAAATTACATATCACTCAACATATTATCATACATTTTCACAAATTTGGCACTTTTTTTGTTATTCATTCTTTTTAGTGTCTTAATAAAATAATTGAAGTCACAGAGAAAAATATTTAATTTGGGTCCTCTTAAAGAGTATTTGCATTTATGAATGAAATATTTTGCCAATAAAATAAAAATATTTCCTATATATTCTATTTTATGATTACAATGCGAAAAATAACAAATTGCATCACCCAATGTTAAATCAATATCCAATTTTAGTTTCAAAGCTAGGAGTTTTGACAGTTCAAACCAAAATTCTTTGACAAGGAAACACCTAAAGAAAAGATGATCAATTTTTACAGAAATTACAATTCAAATGAACATTACCAAATTTATATGTAATCTCGTTGGTGGGATATATATTGTGCAAAATTCTTAACTGTAGTTCTTTCACCTTGTTGGGGATACAATATTTATAAGGTAAGATCCATGCTTTTTTTCCAATTGATCTTTTCTATCAAGGAATTCCAAAAAAATTTCCCTCGCGGGGTAATTCGTTTTCTTGACTGAAACACATTTCTTATAGTTTTATTGCTACATTTTGGATCGAAAATACTTTTGCCTTCTATCAGACATTTCTTTTCACTCTTTACAATCTCTTCAAATGATAAATGACATTTCATTAAATGAACAAGACCATTTGGTATAGCTTTTACCATGGTAAGAAATTCCTTATGAATAACCGGGAAATTATATTTAGACATGAAATCATAATAAGAATAAACATTCCCTTTTGAATCTAACATATCACAAAGATAATCAATATCTTTTTCATGCCAATTCTTAAGAAACATCGACTTGTTCTTTGCAAGAATATTTTCATTGATCCATAGCTTTTCTTTATGTGGGGAGAAGTTGTGGACAAAGCAAAGTTTCCATGCTAGAAGAGCCTGTTCGTGGAATTTAGAAAGTTTTATAGGGATCTTAGAAGGGGAGAAATTACAAGTTAACAAAAACTTAAGCCCTCCCACTTTATTCTATATATTATGTGGGATAAAATACCAAATAAACTCTGGTGAATTGACACAATTCTTTTCCCAGTTCACTTTGAAAGTATTATTAACATCAAGAAAATCCAACAAGTCAAAACCTCCAATCTCTTTTTTACCACATAAAACCTGCTTCTTCAGATGCTGATGTTTGTTTTTCCAAAAAAAACTTAAACAATAAACTATTGATTTGTTTACAGGTATTATCATGGACAAATAACAAAAATGATGGATAAATAAGTCGAGCTAGACCTTCAGCTTTAATTAAAAGAACTCTACCAAGGAAAGACAAATCTCTTTGAAGCCAATTGTTAAATATTTGTTTAGCTTTTTTGATTTTAGGGAGAAAATTCATATCTTGTCTAAAAGATAATCTTTTGGAGATATGGATTCCAAGATATTTCACATTATCTTTAATGGGTATATTTTCCACAGAGGTTTCCATAGTGTCGAATAAACAAAGAATTTCACATTTGGGAATATTTAAATTAAGACCAGAAGCCATTGAAAAGGCAATAATTGTTTCAAGAGCCTTGCCAACCTGATTTGTGTTCTCTAAGAACAGGGTTGTGTCATCCACAAGTTGTGAAATTTTTATCTCACGGTCAAAAATGGACACCCCTTTAATATCAGGATGGTTACGAATACTCAGAGAGAGTAATTCCACAACTAACACAAACAAAAAAGGGGAGATTCCACAACCTTGCCTCACTCCCCTATTAATAGGAAATCTATTAGAGGTATCAAATTGTAAAAGAACCGAGCTATTAATATCCTTATATAACATATTAACCACTTTGGTGAATTTCTCTCCAAAGCCAAATAACTCTAGTGTCGAAAATAGAAAATTGTGCTCAATGGTGTCAAACGCTTTATAAAAGTCTAGAAACAATATTATTGCTTCCGAATTAATATGATGTGCATAATCTATGAGATCTAAGATTAGCCTGATATTACAGCTTATATGTCGTTTAGGCATAAAACCTGTTTGCGTTTCATTAATTATCTCAGATAAACCTGTTTTTAATCTTTTGGCAAAAACTAATGATATAAATTTGTAGTCTAAATTTAGTAATGTGATTGGCCTCCAATTATCAAGTAAGAGAAGATCTTTGTCTGGTTTTGGTATCAAGGTGATGAGCCCTTGTTTCATGGAAGTACTTAATTCTTAATTAATAATACATTCGGTGTACATTCTAAGTAGTGGTTTCTTTATAGTTTCCGAAAAGTGTGTGTAAAACTCAATAGTTAGGCCGTCTGAGCCAGGGGATTTACCCTTCTTCATAGATTGCATTGCCTTGGTAAGTTCAGTTAACGTAGCCTAAGGTCATTTAAAATGACCTTAGGCTACGTTAACTGAACTTACCAAGGCAATGACTCATTTTCACAAACCGTTTTAAACTCACTTGAGATTACTGGAATGTAAGGTTTGACTTTTTGTAGAAAGGCATTTGCATAATTTACATTATAATTTGAACTCCTGGGACCCAAGAATAGACTTTTGTCCACTGTAGTGGACATTATATTTTAGTGAATTTCTCTGACATCATACATGTCACATGACACAACCTGGGTGTCCTGTAAAGAGCACATTCAGGACTTTTCAGAGATACCAAATGTTTGGAGGTTTCACCATGAAAACAACTTCTCCTTGGTCTTTAAAAATGTCTGACATTAATTTAGTGATCAAATGTAACATTCTTATGGAAATATGATAATATATTGTAATTATATTTAAATTGGACTACTTTTTCAAATTGTATTTCATAAAACAACATCTCAGGAAAATGTTAAGGGGTTTCAAATAAAAAAAATACTCTCTGTTACAGAACAGGGCATTGATTTCAAACGTGTCCACTGTAGAGGACATCAGGACTTAAATCATGTTTATCAAGCATTCTGGGAGACACAACAAGTGAATATGGAAATAAATTATACATCAATATTCCTATGAAATATTATATATTATTATTAAAATGTTGCCAGAATTATTACTCCAATTATTACACTTCTTTTTTCAGTAAATGTTGCTCCCAGAACACATTAATGTGCAAATTAGATACAGTGTATAGATACATTGCATTGAATGGGAATATTAATTTATTGCCATTTTACCCACATATTGCAAAAAGTAAAATGGTGTATCAATTCATTCTATTATTTCTTTCATAACATAGTTGAGAATAATCTTTATGCAAATTTTGGTTGAAAAAATCCTGAAACCCCAAAATTTATTGGTGATTGAAAAAAAAATCCCATTGTTTTTGCCTATACATATAATTTCATGTCATTTTATTTTTTAAACAACTTAGTCCTGGCGTCCACTACAGAGGACATAGCATAACGTATGAATAAAATATTATTTTATATATGTGTTTTTTTACCATTTGTTTATTGTGCTCTAAACAGTGTGATGACATGGAAAAAAAACAAATTCAAAAAACTTTTTTTTTTCTGGGTCTCAGGAGGATATAATTTATTAAAAAAGGAATGTACATATTTATTAATTGGGCTATGCTTGGGTCTTCCACCCAACGAGCGGTAACGTGTTTGTCGACGTCCTCAGATGTAGCCTCGCCCCCGATGTGCGTGGTGCATTCTGGGTCCACCCCAAGATGGCGGCGCCCTTGCGCAAGTGTTGAGAAACAATCTCACCTGGAGAAGTCTTATTAAAATTAACTGCTGTTTCACAGTGTTGATCCATCATCGAGGACAACAGGTAGTGCACGGAAAGAGACCCTCGGATTAAGGTATCGAGCTCCTGCCGTGGCTCACGCAGTGTGTGAGGATGATGATGGGCCGCTGCGTCTGACCCAGAACCAAAAGCAGAGCCAGCGCAGATCCCCCTGCAAAAACGCCTTGACCCAGCGCCTTCAGATCCTCCACAAGCTGTGGACACTGCCGTTTAAGCTGCTGACGGGAGTGATCTGTGTTATCGTCCGTAGACGCGGCGGATCTCCAGCTCGAGCTTTGGAAAACTCTGCTGACCAGAGGTGCGAGTACAATTCACAAAACCACATAGTTTCCCATAAACAATTCACCATGGTGCAAAAATATCATAGTTGCTATAGAAAAACTATTGTATTTTCTTATTATACGCCACTTTCATCAATAAAGAAAAGTGACCCCTTTTCTGGACGCTTTACTGTATAGAGGAGAGGACCAATGTTTTCTGTGCTTTGTACAGTGTAAACGGCAGTAATTATGGTATTTAGGTAATATAATCATGTCATTTTCTTTTTGTATGATTAGTACGGTGACCCCGGGAGGGAATAAGTTCAGTTAACTTAGTTTTGTCGTGGCTACGACATACAAACTCGTGGGAACGTGATATGTCGTGGCCACGAGATATTAATTTTATTGGGAACGCGATGTAAAGTCGTGGATTCGAGATCCCATGTTGAGAGAAAGACATATTGTCGTGGCCACGAGTTAAATACATAAACAACCTGCGTGACCATAGCAACCTGGAATTATCAGAAATGGATAGGCCTATAATTATATTTATTTTAAATTAAGAAAAAGCTAAAATCATTTCTTAATTAAGAAATTATTATATTAACATAGTCTATTATATTGCTCGCAATGTTGCCGATAGACAGCATTCGAATGAAGTTTATCATCAATAAATATTTAAAGAATATGCTGTGTACATTTTTATCTTTTAAATCCATTCACTGAATGTTATTTTTTTTATTTAATATTTCTATAGGCCTATAATAATAATAATAATAATTATTGGTTAAATTTTTTATTCATTGTTATGTATTTGCTTTATTTTCTCCTTTCAATTCCCGTATCTCTTTACCTTTCTGTATATTATGTTACTTAAAGTATATATTTTGTAAATACTGTAAATGCCCTAGCAATAAAGTTGTGACTTTATGTCTGTATTTCTGTGGGTTACACAAGTAGCCTATGTGAAGATAAATGAGCAGCTGTTTTCATTTGTAGCCCCTCATGCTGTGACAGCATTCAAATGAAGTTCGTATAATTTGTTATTATCAATAGGCTATATGTTAATAGATTATATATATATATATATATATATATTGTATATAGGAGAGTTCTATTTCATTTATTTGATATAGAATCTTAATCTTTTGTGACATTATAAATGTCTTTACTGTAACTTTTGATCAAAGTTGCATCCTAATGCATCCTTCCTTGCTGAATAAAGTATCTATTGCTTTTACCCCCCCCCCCCCCCACCCCCCTAAAAAGAAAAATTGTGCTGACCCCAAACTTTTGAACGTTGGTGTATTAGGCTATAGTATAATATTATTATAGAAAAAATTCTATTTCAGATAAATGCTGTTCTTTTGAGCTTTCTATTCATCAAAGAATCCTGAAAAAAATTGTACAAAGCTGTTTTCAACATTGATAATAATAATAAACATTTCTTGATCTGCAAATAAACATTTTAGAATGATTTCTGAAGGTTCATGTGACACTGAAGACTGGACTAATGATGCTGAAAATTCAGCTTTGCATCACAGGAATAAATTACATTTTAAAATGTATTCAAATAGAAAACAGTTATTTTAAATCGTCATAATATTTTTTTTGTTTTTGTATTTTTAATCAAATAAATGCAGCCTTGGTGAGCATAAGACACTTCTTTTAAAACATTAAAAATCTTACCGATCCCAAACTTTTGAACGACAGTGTATATATATATATATATATTATTCATCTCATCCTTATGTCTTTTAAATCCATTAACTGGTTATCTTAATTTGGTTTATTTTATATACTTTTCCGTTTGATCTCATTATCTCAAAATGAATGTTATGTATTAGCTAATAGCCTACAAAAGCCAACCACATAGCCTACAATAGCCAACCATATAGCTTATGTTTTGTACTGTAAGTGCCCAACAGTCATGCAATAAAACTTTGATTATTTCTGGCGCACAGGAATATACGGGAAGTTCACTTTACGGGAATTTAACATATTTAATTTCAGGTTTAATAGGCATAATAATAATAATAATAATAATAATAATGTTCACTTTACGGGAATTTAACATATTTAATTTCAGGTTTAATAGGGATAATAATAATAATAATAATAATTAAATAAAGACACAATCAGTGCATGGATTTAAAAGGCTGTGAGATGGGATGGATAAATATATTTATAATATTTTATGTTTTTACATATTCTTTTATTTAATAACAAACTTAATTTAAATGCTGTCTATAGGCAACATCGCGTGCAATATAATGGGCTATTATATATTTAATATAATAATTTCTTAATTCCGCCCTTATTTTGTCTTTCTTAATTAAAAATAAATATTATTATAGTCCTATCCATTTCTGATAATTCCAGATTGCTATGGTCGCACAGGTCGTTTACGCATTTAAAATAGAAAATATGTCGTTCTCTCAACGTTTTCTCTCTGTCGTTTATATGTCGTGGCCATGACAAAACTAAGTGAACCGAACATGGTCCCTCCTTGTCACCGTAGATATGTGTGTGAAGCAGCAAATTCTTGTAAAGCACTAATTGAGAGCTTTCGTTCCTCCCTAAAGTCCAAACTTAAAGGGATAGTTCACTTCAAAAGAAAATTCTGTCATCATATACTCGCCCTCAAGTTGTTTCAAACCTGAATGAATTTCTTTCTTCTGCTGAAAACAAAGTTTTGAAGAATGTCACTCAGTAATCAAACAGTTACCTGGACCCATTGACTTCCATAGTATTTTTTTTTTCCTACTATGGAAGTCAATGGGTCCAGACAGTTAACTGTTTTTTTTTTAAGTGAATTATTCCTTTAACATCCAAACAGCCAAATAAGCAAGCAGTACTGCAGGACGTATTTGATATTAAACACAGTGTTATTAAAAGCGCATTAGGGATGGGCATTCGATTAAATTTTCTTAGTCGATCGTCGGGAGAATTAACGATCGACTATCGATTAATCATTAATATTTTTTATATATTAAAATTAATTATTTATTTAACTTTTTATAAATTAAAAATGCAATGAAAATACAAAAATACAGCGTGTTTTTCCTCGATGAGATCTTTATTACAAGATAATCAACTTGCGGCAGTTAAACTGGACATTCGGCTAAACTTGAAATATGCGCTGCGGTGCTCTAAAAAGCAACAAAACCTGCAGCTGCGAGTTGGCGTCCTCAAACAGAGACCCGATCGTTTGTTCCAAAATAATAATAAAAAAAATCATGTTAAACAATAACTTAACCAAAAACATAATAATACTCAATGTAACTTAAAACTATCCAAGGTACGAAGTCGAGAAAGAGTGTGAGAGAGATTAGCCTACCTAGCAACAAATTAGGCTACTTAACAAAGCCTCAAAAAAAATATCTATTAACTCACATAAAACTTCTGCACCAGTCTACTGATTTTTGTTGAGAAAGATAAGCATGTTGATGACATGGACTGGGCCTGGGGTCAGACGCGACCGCAACATGGTGACCGTCAAGCCTCGTTTATACTTTTGCCTGGCTCTGCAGCGCGATTCTCCGCAAACGGACGAGGCGTTTATACTCCACGCGCTCGCCTGTAAAACGCCGAATACCGCAATGACGTCATTTTTGCCTCGCGCACCTTTGCTCGTGCTTGTGCGGACGCGTCGAGGTCGAGTGTAAACAAACTCTTCAGTCCAGCCGCCGAAAACACCCGCTCTGAGGGGACTGACGTTGCCGGGATGCACAGGTACCTCTGCGCTAACTTGACCAGCCCGGGAAACAACTTATTCCGTTCACTTTCCACCCGTCTGCAGTGGTGCAATCCAGCGGTTCATTGCTTCAAGGCTCACATTACGCAACGCAACCATATTACATTTACATTTACATTTACATTTAGTCATTTAGCAGACGCTTTTATCCAAAGCGACTTACAACTGAGGACTAAACCAAGCGAGTCATCGTGAAGAGGCAAAAGCAACGCAAGAAGTGCTCAAAATACAAAGTTCAGACATAGCTCGGAGTAGCATAAGCCAGGCAAGCGAGGATTTAGAGGAAAGGATTTTTTTTTTTTTTTTAGTTTTTTTTTTTTAGTTTTTTAGTTTTATCGATAACAAATTAACATGATCGACGAAATTCTTAATGATCAATTATCGATCGTCGATTAATAATGCCCATCCCTAAAGCGCATCAAGCCGCAAAAGATACATTGGCTTTCTGTGTGCGTGCCCAACGAGTCGGAGCCCAACGAGGATAAGCAAATGGGTTTGGATACACACAAAAATGTCCAATGCCTTTTTGGAGAGAATTTACGTTAACAAACAGACAGAGGCGGACAGAGTACAGAGCTTTGTTACTTGAGTAAAAGTACAGATACCCCTTGCTAAATTTTACTCAAGTACAAGTAAAAGTACTACAGTCAGATGTCTACTTAAGTAAAAGTACTAAAGTACTTGTTTTTAAAAGTACTTGAGTATCAGGAGTACAAGAGTAAATTTTCTAAATATTGCATTAGTAATCTACTGCCACAGTGCTTACATTTATGCACAGAAACGTCCTACATGGAGTTATGAAAAATTTTAATGTTAATACCTTGGAGAATGTAAAAGGAATTGAAAGTAAAATCAAGTCATTTTCATCTTTTTACCATGTTGCTTTATTTAATTTAATTAAATTTTTGGGGGGTCCCATCTTTAAATGCGGGGACAACACACACACACACACACACACCACATGTAAGGGTGGCGCTGCCAATAAAACACCTAAAAGCTGTCACAAAGAACCGGCAAAAGGAATGATTATGAATATGTAAAATATAGCAAGGAGATATTTTAATTGTTTATTAATAAACACTTGTTAATAAACAAGTGTTTTCTTTGTCAGTGTCGGCTAGATGAAGTTGACGATGCTGACTCGCGATATTCAGTAGTGACCGCGCCAGAGAGAAATGCACATTTCATACGGATTACATAAGCAGAGAGCAGTCTGTAGTCTGTTTTCTTTCGTTTTGAATTTTTCTGTTTAAAAGTAGACATATCTGTGAGAGGCATTTCGGTTCATTTATGAGACGAGATCCAGTTCACGTGCCGGCGCCTCCATTTCTTATCTATCGTCTGCTATTTACTTCTTATTTATTAAACCCAGGCAATTGGTTGATGAAACATTGATTAAAATTAAGATACAATTAATGCAAAACGAAATTCAGGTTAAAGAAAGGTTTTGTGTTTTCTGTTTGATGTCTCTGTGAAACTTTTAAAGCATTTTTTATGCCGCTTTCAGAGCGCTCACGTCCGTAACGGAGAACACGTCCATAACATTGTTTTTTCCTCATAAATGCAAACCCGAAAAATAAAATAAAACAAAATTAATATTTTATGTTCTGTGGAGACTGAGCGCCAACCCTTCTTCATTTGCTGGGTAGTAGCCTACTTTGGTTTGCGCAGTGTAATTCACATAATCAGTAAAAATATATTTTGCCTCCTAAAGTTTTTTTTTAAGAAATCAGAAATCCCTCGTGGCTACGCCACTGCCACATTTGAACCTGACTGTGTTAAACACACCACATACTCAAGAACATCAAACCAAATGCTTGGCTTACATAAATGTGTAATATAAAATCTGACCATGGAGTTGACTTTGGCGGAAAGCTGAAAGTGATTGCTGATAGGCTGTCCCAATCAGTGGCGCCTGCACAATCCAATCACGTTTGAGAGGGAAACAACAAATTGAGGGTTTCCGAGATTTTTTTATTTATTTTTTTACTCGGGTACTCACGGTTATGGATAGAAATGTATTGGAGTAAAGAGTACAATATTTGCCTCTCAAATGTACTTGAGTAAAGTCATGAGTACTCCCCAAAAATGATACTCGAGTAAAGTACAGATCCCTCAAAATTGTACTTAAGTACTGTACTCAAGTAAATGTACTCCGTTACTGTCCGGCTCTGCAAACAGACCAATGAATAACTTGGACTTAGAACAAACTTAGACTTAGAATAGACTTAGAGAAACCTCTCGACGACAATAGCTCTAGCAGTTTCCTTGGTGGCTCTGAGAGACAAATCTGTGGCCCGACGCAATTTTTTAACCGTCCTACCCCCTCGCCATCGTCCAGGTCCCTCAGCAGATCAGCTTGGTGTGCATTGTGTGCAGACATGCGCCAGCCTGACCTGCCTCCGTGTACGCTTTACCCACTGCCGCTGATGTTCTTATTGGCTTAGTGGGCAGCGTCAGGGCCTTCAGGGAAGACAGCTCGCAAGCGTCTGTTCAACCCTAGGCATTGGCCCATAGCCATACTCTTTCAACCCACTTATATCTGAATACACATGCACTTGGGGGCTGAAAAGATGTATGGCTTGTTCCATGATCTCGATAACTCTTTGTGGAGATCATGACAGAAAGAAAGGCCCCATGGTGGAGGTGTTGTGTTTGGTGACTCTAACCCTTCCGAGAGATCCATTAGCGAACCCTACGATCTCAGCTTCCGTGCTGCGTCGGCAACAGTGGAGGCGGAACCGCAGTGAACGCGAGTCTGAACACTCTCCTGAAAGACGGGAGCGAAGCGGCAACTTCTCACAATGCTCACATTCAGCCCCCGCAAAGGCTGACAGAGCATGCTCCGCTCCCAAACACATAACACGCAAATCGTGTGTATCCCCACCTTTAAGGAATTGTGGGCAGGGAGAAGCACACAATTTGAATGCCTGCGTATTATTCGCCATTTCTTATTATATGTGTGTACTGCACTATATCGGGACAGACAACAATAAATAAGACAAACAGTATGAGCACAGAGTGCTTGCTGAGGCACAGAAGCAAACACCGGTCATTCTGGATGTGCTTTTATGCTTTCCTGGTCGTGACGTCACCCGCCCGTGATGTTCCATCTTGCCATTGGACTAGCTGACACACATGCTTCAGACGCAATCCTAAAGAGTCATCGACGCAGCACGAGTTCCCTCGAAAGGGAACCCAGTATACCTTAAGATTATTACTTGTGACTTTAGAACCAAATATATGGATATGAGAACATAAGCATAAAACTAAATTAAACAACAATCTAAAACAAAACAAAAAATTTTTTTGGCACATCATTGTGAATGGCATCAAACTACCACAAGAGCTATTTGAGAGCAGCCAACTGGCTCAGTCAGCGCAGCTTCTCCAGAGTGGCTGCATGAGCTCTGCGGACAACGCAGCTTTTGATAATTGGCCAGACTCATCGACGACAACAATGACATGCGTTTCATGTTTATTCTGATATCTTCAGTTCCGCTCACAAATCTGTAAACTCTTTGCATGTAATTTTGATGGTAAATTGAATCATGTTTCAAATCAATCATGTATCAAAATAAAACTGATTTAGACCCCAATTTATTTGTATTTAAATAGTATATGCCGTTAAACATCATATTAAGCAGTGCATAAAGTTTTGAATGAAAAGTGTTTCTGTTGCTACATGTAAACATCTAAAATGTCTGGTAATTTGACAAATATTGCATCTAATTCACTTCATCTGTGATAAAGAAAGCTCTGTTTTCAACTCCACTTCTGAATCTCGTTGATTGCTAAGACCAGCACACCTAATGTGTTTCTGGAATATGTGGCATGTTCAGAGATCTGTCTCTGGAGCATCTGAAAACTCTGGGATATGTTTCTATACCATCTGAAATTCACTTTGTCGTCTTTTTAGAAGTATCGTGGAAGTATGAATTTTTTTTTTATTTATGTTGGCGAAATTGCACTCGTCACTCACATTTGCTAGTAGGGTTTTGATCTGATGTAGCTGTTCTTGGATTCTGATATTACTACTGAGCTTTGTTGAATTGGAATTGGTGTGAGATGAAGTTAACTATCATAAGAATTGGGAATTTGTTTTACATTCATATAGTCTGGTGGAGCTCCAACTTATTTTTTACTTTTGATACTTTGTGTTAGTTCAGATTCAGAATTATTTAATTGAACCATTTCAATAATACACCACAACTCTTTGTCTCTCTACTTTCTACATTTTAAACCTGCAAATGTAGTCATATAATTGTATTTTTTCTATATGTTCTTTTTTTTTTTTTTAGATTCTTTATGAAAATGGACGCTGAGCTGCTTAATTCCCCTGTTGTGGGTCTGGCGGAGGAGGAAGAGGTGGACATGACTGACTGGAACCTTCCACTGGCCTTCATGAAGAAACGCCACACAGAGAAGATTGAGGGATCCAAAGCTTTGGCTCAGAGCTGGAGAATGAAAGACAGGGTGAGAGAGAGTCTTCTAATGTTATCTTTAGTCATTTGAGCGTCAGACGATTCAACTTGATTAAACATTGATTAAACATTGATTATCTACTTTCAGTGTTGATGTGTGCTGCTGCTTGTTTTTGGCTTGAATTTAGTGTCATGGATACACTGCACCAATCTTGGGATTTATATATATATACAGTTGTAATCTAAATTATTCAACTTTCATTGCAAATCAGGTTTATTGGCAAAATTTACAGACTTTCAGCCCTTTGCAATGAACGAATCAAAGAAAAGTAATTGAAATAGCTCAACAAATGTTTCAAGTGGTTTCTATAAATTCAACTGAAGATGCAACTTTTAATGACTTCTGCAGTCTCAATATTATTTAATCCCCTGAATAGAATAACAAAGCTTCTAGGTTGTACGTCACGCATCACAAACATGACCAGCGTCGGCCAATAGTGAGCCTACGTGTGACGTGCAACCTAGAAGCTTTGCGCAATATCACTACATGAAATATCACGGCCGTACAGAGAAGGAAATGATTAGTTGAATAAAGTCGTTATTTTTGTTTGTTTTTTTGCGCACAAAAAGTATTCTCGTCGCTTGATAAACTTAAGGTTGAGCCACTGTAGTCACTTGGACTATTTTAACGATGTCTTTCATAACTTCTGGGCCGGTCAGTTTCGATCCCTTAAGAAGCCTATGGAGGAGTGATCCAGCTCTCAGATTTAATCAAAAATATCTTAATTTGTGTTCCGAAGATGAACGAAAGTCTTACGGGGTTGGAACAACATGAGGGTGAGTAATTACTGACAGAATTGTCATTTTTGGGTGAACTAACCCTTTAAGACAGTCAGTAATAAAATAAGAACAAATAATCAAATTACAAGCAATAGCACAAATAAGTACAACAGAACAAACATATACAAATGAAATAAACAGTTCTTTTCAGTTTTTTTCTTCACTGTATAGTTATTCAGTTGAGCGATTTTTTTTTTTTTTTCTGTAAAAATGTTCAAAAGGCCAGTAGTTTAAATTTTTTACTTTCCCTGTCTCTAGCAATGTATTTTTTAGTAGTTTGGAGAATAGAAGGATAGATAGATTTATATTTTTTTCAGAAAATGTTGAGTTTTCTTTACATTTATTTTTCACAAAAACAATAATTTTCTCTTTCTTTCTCTGCAAAAAAGAGAGCCTTGCTCCGTCTCTACACCAGACGTGAGTGGTGGGACTCTTCTAGCTTTTGCATGAGGACACGATGTTAAAGGTTTTGCAGTCATAATGGTAGATGATGCCCGAAACTCTCACGCACTGGTTCTGGGCCATGCTTATTGACAATCTAGGCTGTTTTTACAGTTTACATCCAAGTATCAGTTGGGTCATTCCATGTCACAGCAACCAAATTTCGTAAACTCTCGGCTCAAATTTTTGATTTTGTTAATATTTTTTTTTGAAGAAAGACAACAAATAGTGATGTCAAGCCAAAATATTAAATCTAATGGATGTATATATTGACACATTTGGTTTTTGACCACTAACATGTGTACAATTGACCAATTTACTTGGTCAATTGTACAATTGAGCTCAAGCTCCATATCTCTGCGATTGAACCATATAAGGCCTTTAAAATGAAGATAACATAAGAAAAGTTTAAGAACCAGAATCTTAAAAAGGATATTAAGATATCTTCAATACTTCTTGAGTTACAGGCATGCAAACGGACAAAAGACACGAGGTTCCCATGTTTGAACGGTCACCATTGGCATGCAATACAACAACGATTGATAAAGTAAACTGATTCAACTAATAGACCTACCAATGTACCTCTGTGTAAAAATAAAATAATGATGCTGCCATCTTTCTGAAGTAATTTTTACCCCCTGTAATTTGGCTCCAAATCTCAGGTGAAAATTGTCATTTTGACCCCCCTCTACAAAACAGTGAATGACTCGTATACATTCATGACATTTAAAGCTACTACAATATGTAAGATTTTTGTAATAAAATATTCAAAAATCACTTGCACAGTGTGATATATTTCCTGCAGTTGTGTACTTACAATATCCCAAAAGTTCCCAAAGATTTTTAATTTCAGAGAAATTCTCATTTTAAATAATGGCTCGTCAATGTTGACTTGTCGCCTGTCAATGACGTAATATCCGCGTTATCCCTGGTTTCCGCTCGTACTGCCATAATAACCATGGCGACAGACGTGGACAACTGTGTTACGTTTAGCGGCACGCTCAAGCTGTTGAGGTTTCGTTCAAACATTATGGTAAATGGCAAGCAGACTTTGGGACAAAAGGAGAACTAAAACGAGGATCAATATCAGCGTGGCGTTTTCGAGATGCCGAGAGCTTCACATCCGTGACAAACTTTGACTTGACAGAGAAGCAGCTCTTGCATGCACTTTATTAGACAGGTGAGCAAATGTACATAAAACTCATCAATGTTAAATAGCTCAACATGGTGAAATGTTAGAATATAATCAGTATGTTATTCTAATGTTGATCTAGCTTACTGCTAGTCTCATACAGACAAACTAACAAACACATAGTATAACATTATAACTTTCAACACTCTCAAATGCAGTTTAGTGTGATAGTGTAGACCAAGTGAAACAGCGCTGCGTTACCTCACAAGTTTCATTCGTCAAATAAACTGACCTGTGTGAGTAGTAATTCTGCACTTGCGGGTAGTTCGATAGAATGAAATTTCCTTATTCCTTTATATCCGCGGGACTCGTGTGTGGCGCTGATATCTGTCTCTTATTAGCAATCGCGACCTGCTTCATACCACAGTCCTGTTAAAAACATCAATGTATTCACTCATCCATAAACATTATTAGATCCATCAGCTTGACGACAAGTTCCTGTAAGATTGTATTGTTATTGTAAGAGGTTAGCGACCCCCTAGCGGGAAAAAAACATTACATATTGTAGCTTTAATACTTTGGCTTACTTCTTCTTTTATGTACACTACCGTTCAAAAGTTTGGGGTCGGTACGATTTTAAATACTTTTAAAAGAATTCTCTTCTGCTAACCATGGCTGCGCTTATTTGATTAAAAATACAACAAAAATCAGTTATAGTATTAAATATTATTCCAGTGTAAATCAGCTGTTTTCTGTGTGAATATATAGTAAAGTGTAATTTATTCCTGTGATCAAAGCTGAATTTTCAGCATCACCAGTGTCAGTGTCTTCAGTGTCAAATGATCCTTCACAAATCAGTATAATATGAGGATTTGATGCTCAAGAAACATTTATTATTATTATCAATGTTGAAACAGTTGTTGGTCTGTCAGTTGTACAGTTTTTTTTTAGTTTTTTTTAGGATTCTTTGATGAATAGGAAGTTCAAAAGACTTTTGTAACATTATAAATGTCTTTACTGTCACTTTCGATCAAATTAATTATTCCTTGATAAATAAAAGTATTGATTTCTTTCCTCCAAAAAATAAAAATAAAATTCTCACTGACCCCAAACTTTTGAACGGTAATGTATGTATCTATGTACCAGAAGTTTTTTTTATCAAAATGAAAAAAAATGTCTTTTTTTTTTGGCCGGGACCCCTCTGGTTGAGTTGACATGGAATTATACAGTTATTTTTTTCCCCCAGACTTTTACCTCTTTTAAAATGATCAGTACATCTGTAGGGGATTACTGATCATGTTTTTCTTGAGGCTTGATATCTAGTAAAATATCAATTACAAATAAAGATAACCTGATGGAAAATAAACTGCAAGCCTTCCGTGATCCTTTAAAATCCTGTGAGTATTTACACAGTGTGCTGCAAAAGCCGGTGTCTGGCAATTAATCTGAAGCATGGCGGGTTAAAGTAAATTGATCTGCTGCTTGAATTGAGAGATTCTTCCTCCACGTAAATGAGTGTGAGTGTTTCTCCTCAGACTAGAGTTTTAAATGTAAGGCAAATCTTTCTGTTTGTGTTTCCTCAGAGGAAGAACTATTATCAATTTTTGTAGCTATATCCATATCTTACATGCTTAAAAGCAGTGAGGAAAATTAAGACACTTTGATTTCCTCTGCGACTTATGATATTTTTTACAGGATTTAGTGAAGAAACGCAGCAGTCTGAGTGAGAAGAGGGAGGCACAGATTATTTTGTAGTTATTGTCCAATATGTGTCACCATAGAAATATAAATGCATGCTATGACCTCTTTACATCAAGAGTGGAATGGACATGTGAAACAAACTGCAGACTAAACGCCTGTTAACACCGGAAGAGAAACAAAGCTAAAAATACATATTGCACTTACTTTAAATGTGCTATAAGTGATTTAAGATTTTTGACAATAACTGACAGCATATCTCCCATTAAAAAAAGGTATTTGTCTTTAGATTAGACAAGAATAAACCAAACTGTCTTTCCTCTTGAACTGCATAAAGGGCAGAGTAAAAAGGGCTGGGCCATGATTGTTAATAATTTTTTTCTGAGATCAGATTATCATAGCATGCATTTCTTTGTTTCTTTTCTAGCCTGGTTTTGATGAAGAAATGTAATCATGTTGAGATTTTCAGGGCTCATTGTTGACCGCTGAGGTGAGAGAATGTGTCCAATGGTTCTGAACATCCTCTCTAAAGGCATTTCTTCAGCATGTATTTTTCACCCAGCCAGAGGGCCAGCGTCAGCGCTGATGGTTGGAAGAGATGTGTATATCTTCATTTAAGACAGCACCTTATCATGGACATTTTTATTTCCTGAGGTTTCATTGTTCTGCCTAGAAAAAGGGATTTGCTGTAGCAACTCAGACTTTTATCTTTCCTTTTTGTGAACTCATTTTCTTTTCTTTCTGCTTGAGGATGTGCTCTATCTAAAAGAACTGCTATTGCAAGATTCACTGCTTTTTCCACATATCCCTCAACTGTGTCATTCAGGTTTTTAACGAAGCTTCCTTTAAACTGGGCATCCACAAAGCTGGAGATCTGTAGCACTCATTCCACCTGCTCAGTCTATCTCACTTGCAAGTCTGCCCTCAATACTTGCTTCATC